CGAGTCCAACTATAACCCAACTCCACCAACCATTAACTCAACTCCACCAACTATTAATCCAATTCTACTAAGTCCAGTGCTTAAAACCTGTCTCCAGGGTGGTCCCCCTGCTCCCAGGCAGCCGTGGGTGTCACACGTCCCCTCTGCTGTGGTTGGCACATGTTGGACATTTCCTCTTGGGAAAGGGAGCTGAGGGCAGGGAGGGACAGTGACTTGTTTGTTCTGGGGGAAAGGGAATCCTGTCAGCTCAGAGCTTTCCTGCAGCAGCAGGAACTCGTGGCCTTATTGCCTGGATGTGGGGTCCTGGACACTCAAAGCCCTGTGGGTGCTCTGGGGAAGGGGGTTCCTGTCCCCCGGGCTGTTTGGTGTAGCAGGATGGCACGACCTGCACTCAGGACACAGGATCCCTCTCTGCTAATAAAGCAGCTTTAGTGGATCTGACACTAAACTCCTCTTCATCTGCTCCCCATAACCAGGCCCAGGATGACCTTGTTCCCCCGTCACACCAGGCAGCTGAGCCCTCAGTGAAAGTGTTTAAAGCACAAGTATAATCAAGAGCAAGGGTGGGAGAAGAAGCACATCTGAAGGCCAAGCTCACCAGTGTAATGCAGATTAAAGAATTTAGATGCATGAAAGTTGCAGAAATGTAGAGAAAAATGCAACTTTTCTGCCACAGAGAGCACTGAGCAGCTCAGCTTCTGCCCAGGGCAAGATCAGACCTTTCCCTCATCTCAATTTGCTGGAGCTAAAAATATTGATAAAATAAACCTAACCCCGGGCAGGGACAGGGGTTCTCAGGTTCTCCTGCATGTCCCCATTTTTATGACCAACCTGGCTCTAAAATTTATATAAAACATAACTTTTAATCACTCTGGCCATGGGACAGGCTGACTCATGACAGGGGGGATTAAAGGAGGAGAAAAAGACTTCAGTGAGTCTGAGCTTTATGAAACAGCAAAGGAGAAGCTTAAATATAAACCCAAACTTGTCATTTTATGTGTTCAAACAGCTTTAGTGAAGGGGAAATGCTTCCAAGTTCACGTTGTGTTCCCAGATGAGCCCCACTGAGTCTCTGGCAGTGGAATATCCCTCTGCACTGGGACAAGCTGATCTTGGTGGCCTGTCCCCTGCCACCACCTGGTGTCACCATGAGCAGCCTCTTCCATCGCTGCAGGGCCTGAGCAGTGAAACCCAGGGGACTGGGAAGGGCTGGCACAGGATTTGTACCATTCTCAGCGCTGCTGCTTCCCTCTCGTGGTGAGGAAACAGCCCGGGAGGTGGATGTGGCACAGACGTGGTACAGGTGTGTTATTGTCATAGACTGGTCTCAGCCACATCACCAGTGGGACAAAAACCTGGATCTCTGTTGGGAAAGGGTGGAATTGGCTCCAGCATTTAGGCTGTGGACCTGGAAGTAGGTCTCCCTGGGCTATTTCCCTCTCACTTGCCTCCCTCTAAAGGGAGGGGTGTGCCTGGGCAGGTTGAATTTACTGCTTGTCCTGCTCCTCTAAGTCCCCTTCCCCTTGGTCTTTTCAGAGCACCTGAAGAAGCACAGAAGCAGGAAGGCTCCCTGCAGGCTCCTGGCTCAGCTGATGACAATGGATACTTGTGAGATCTATGAAAATGCCTCCAAATGCAGCGCAAACATCACCGAGTGCTTCATGGTGCTCAGCACCCAAGCTCAGAGAATAAGCATTGCCACACTCTGTGGCCTCTTTGGGACACTGTGCATTTTTGAGAACTCTTTGGTGCTCTACTTGATCTTCTCCTCCCCCAGGACCAGAAGAAAGCCTTCCTACCTCTTCATCAGCAGCCTGGCCTTGGCTGACATCCTGGCCAGCATCATCTTCGTCTGCAGTTTTGTTAACTTCCATGTCTTTAAAAAAACTGATTTCTCTAAAGAAATGTTCCTGCTGCAGCTGGGAGGGGTGAACACATCCTTCTCTGCCTCCCTCAGCAGCTTGCTGCTGACAGCCCTGGACAGGTACATCTCCATCAGCAAACCATCCCAGTACAAGCTCCTCATGACAAGGAAGAGAGCGTGGGCAGCCCTGGGGGTGCTCTGGGTGACATGTGCCACCATTGCTTCCCTGCCTCTCCTGGGCTGGAACTGCTGCATGTTGGATTCCACCTGCTCTGAGCTATTTCCCTTTGTGGATGACAATTACCTGTCGAGCTGGGTCTGCCTCATCATGGTCCTGCTGGGGTGTATTGTCTATGCCTACTCACACGTGCTGTGGAGGGCTCACCAGCACGTAGCCTACATGAAGAAGCACCAGGAGCAGGTAGGGAAGCAAAACACCAGGATGAGGATGGATGTCATGCTGGCCAAGACCCTGGTGATGGTGCTGACTGTCCTGGTGCTGTGCTGGTCTCCAGTCCTCGTCCTCATGATCTACAGCATCTTTGCCAGGCCGAACAATCGCCTGCGCAAGGTGTTTGCCTTCTGCAGCACGCTCTGCCTGCTCAATTCCATGGTGAACCCCATTATTTATGCCCTGAGAAGCAAGGAGCTGTACTCCTCCATGAGGATGTTTTTTTCTCGGTTCAGGAGGCAGCCAAAGACCTCTGAGGAAAGCCCTGAGGAAGCAGAGAGCAGCCACAGGTCCTCCGTGGTAGAGACTGTCTGCGAGGACACGCAGGGAACATAGGGAGGCAGCCATGGAGAGTCTGTGCTTGGGCTGGCAGAAACAGCCTGGATCAGTTCACTTGTCCTTCCCTCTTCTTCTGGAGGTTCTGGGAGATGAGGGATCAGGTGCCTGCCATGGAGGCAGCTCCCACGGATCTTATTCTGAGGTGCTGGGACATAAAGTGCACAGAGACACCAGTGCCCGCTCGGTGGGACAGCCAGGAGGCAGTGGAGAACTCCATAGTCCAGAGCAGCAGATCCTGATCTTACTTAAAATTCTTTAAAATATCACTCACCTGAGGTAAAACACCCTGCAGACCTTCAGTTTCTGGCTCATTGTATCATAGCATTGAGGGTGGTGTTGGGTTTAGCGTCTAATTCTGTATGGAGAATGGAAAAGCTCTCACTGGGGCTTATGGGCTCTGCCATGGTTGAGGGTTTGGAGCTGGACCAGACTGTGCAGGCAGCACGTTTCTCCCAGCAAACTTAAGGAAAGCTGAACTGTGCCAGCCAGGTGCTTGTTGGATATTATAGGATTAAACATTAAAGCAAATTTTCATCCTTTTATTTCATTAGTCTCTGGGGCACAAACTCCTCCAGGTTGTAAGTTTAAGCCCAGGCTGGGGCAGATGCTCTGAGCATGAGGAACTTGATAGATTTATTGATATAATGATTTATTGATGTATTTCAAATTACACAAAAGCAGAACTCCTGTTGGTTCCAGAAATCAGAGTGGTTTGGGTTGGAAGGGACTTTAAAGATTATCTAGATCCAACCCCCTGCATGGGCAGGGACACCTCCCACCAGCCCAGGTTGCTCCAAGCCCCATCCAACCTGCCCTTCAACACTGCCAGGGATGGGGCAGCCACAGCTTCCCTGGGCAACCTGGGCCAGGCTCTCACCACCCTCACACCAAAGAATTTCCTCCTCATGTCTCACCTCAATCTCCCTCTCCCAGTTTTCATCCATCCCCCTCATCCCATCCC